AAAATGCATTTATGTTCAGTTACAGTGATATTCTTGTACACAAGCACTATCCTGACTTCGATATATTTAATGTGTTGTATCTCCTTGCTTCACGGAGCCGTAAAGTACAAGCGTGAATACATATTGCCCTGGATAATGGCAGCATGTATTGGAGTTATATTGTTAATCATCGTTATCATTATTGGAGACGGATACCCGTGCGTCGTGAACCTTTTTGGAGGCCACAATTTGTACCGTTAGTACCTCATTTTCAATATAGTATTTATAAATGACACATTCTTAATTATCATTCATCATGAGGGATATATCAGCTGGGGACTTGTGAAGGGCTGTAATGATGATAATGATGAATTATTATTCAAATATTATTTTAAAATTATGGGAGCCTTATGATGAAATTACGCAGTTCCTTTTAATTGTACATAGAGTGATGGATGAATTCATAAACATTGCCATTATTTTGTATTAGTTTGCTTAGATAATTGTTTCATACTTTTGTTCAGTATTTGCCATGCCAAAGTAAAAAATATTCATTAAAACTAGGCACAATATTTCGTCGTACCCTCTTCCTCCTCATGAGTTTGTTTACAGTCCACTGCCGAACAGTATCTTCTACCATACTAGGTAGGCACATTTAGCGACTATGAACGCTCAGCAAGCGGATCGAATTTGGACACACATTTGCCGCTGTTTTTCGTCGCCGGACTAAGTGGGAAATTTCTACATTTAAGCGAAATAATATACCTACAGGGTTATTTTGCAATATCCGACCAAATTTGCAGAGAAGGTACAGAATAAGTAATATAGGCAAATTGTGATGCATTGGTAGAAACAGTAATACCGCTCTATTAGCCTTATCCCATCCTCTTTTGAGACTTTTATGTTTATTGATACATTCTCTTATGTCGCCAGTCGCTACTACTACACGAGTGATGATACAGGTGATGTTATGTACTTACAATATAAGCATATTGTCTGGTAATCAAAATCAAAAAAATCTTCAAAGAACTAAAATGTATAAAATAATTTCGACATAATAGCGTCAGCATTCCGTTTTTGAAGTCAGCTGAAAATATTATTAATCTAAGAAAAGAAACAATGATACCTACTGTTGATGTTTTTACAATCAAATTGATTCATTACTAACTCTACATATTTACAAGAAAATTGTAATCACCTAGCTAAGCGGGTACAGCACAGCGTTATATACAAGGCATCTGACGGCTGACGGCTCCGTGGCACAGTGGCTTAGCAATGAGTTGTTGCGCTGGGGGCCGCGGGTTCGAATCCAGCACGGAACAATTATTTGTATGGCCTACAAATAATTGTTCCGGGTCTGGATGTTTGTCCTCTTGCAATTTATGTTTGTATACTGCCTCCACGACACAGGAGAAAATCCTAGTGTGGTACCCCCACATGTTTTTAAAATAGAAAAAAATCTTAGGCACAGCAGTCTGGAACGATACTAAAACTGGCGGTAATATATTTTTAACGCCGCCACTACACTGTCAGCTTGATTTTTGCTTTTAGTACATTGATAACATACCCGACGACTACTGTGAAAACATTTTATATCAATCGTCAAAAGAATTGTTAGAATGTAGGAATATTTCGTGTAGCGCGGAATTTTACATACATAGATTGCAATAAAACTAATAACTAATTATATAGCAACAAACGCCAACGCTTTGCCATTGCGCTACTGAACCTTTTTCTTCTTTATAGTCTGTAAAAGTCCACAGCTATACATAGGCCTCTCCCGTTCTTGGAAGGATTGGTACTGAGCTGTCTATTACATATCAGGGCCTGATTTAACCACAGGCTAACCAGGCTGGAGCCTAGGGCGCAAAGTTCAAGGGGGCGCTGACCTCAGGGGCGGATAGTGAATTTGCGGGGCCCTGGGCTATCTCTACTCGGGAGCCTACCAATTTAATGTCGCTGCATACGTAATGTGTTTTATTCCGAACGGCGCGGGGCCTCAAATTTTGAAAATATTACGACAATGTTTACCCCGTCCCGCCCCTTGTGCGCCACGTCCCGTCCATGGTTCCGCTACGTATGCACAGCCACTGCGTTGAATTCTTCGAATGAAAGGGGGTACACACCGCCAACCATCACGCGATGAGATTCTGGATGTACGGTTTACACAGCGCTCAGTGTGCAAAGCACTCCTCTCCCTGGATGTCAACAAATCGAGTTGACCTGATGGAGTCCCTCCTATTGTACTGAAGACGTGTGCTCCGGAATTAGCACCGGTTCTAATGCGTCTTTTCCGGTACTCCTACTCCCTAGGCCCGTAATCCCGAACTTATGGAGGACAGCTTTAGTGCACTCAATCTCTAAAAAGGTCACCGATCAGACCCGTCCAACTACAGGGTTATCACCATCGCCTCCCTATTCTCCAAAATAATTTAATCCATTAATTGTCAGCTCATAAGGTAGCTTGAGGACCCCTAGCTGATTACTTGACTCATACATAAGCGGAAGCAGTAGATTCCAAGAGAAAGGCCTTGGTCGTTACTTTGGACATAGCGAAGGCTTTCGATAGGCTTTGGCACAAAGCGCTTCTTTAGAAGCTTCCTTCTTATGGGCTTCCCGAGAAATTGTGCAATTGGATCATCGGTTTTCTTACACATCAGAGCATCAAGGTCGTAGAAGACGGTGCATAATCCAACTACGAGCCTATTAATGCTAGTGTTCCACAAGTCTGCGTGCGCTCATCACCTACGCTGTTTCTTCTGTATATCAATTATATGTTGCTATTACTGGTTGTAATACTGGTGATGCTTTTTACACCGACCGTGCTAATTATCGGAACAAAATTGTATGAAGTCGAGTATTTAATAAACAAAATCTGATTGGGGACGACTCTAGTCCACCTTAAAATTCAGAAGTAACAAGTTCACGCGTTTACCGCTAAAAAAACCCCTTTGTTGTATCTCTTTAATTTCAGGGCACTCCCCATGCTGCACAGTCAGTATCAAAATTCTAAGCATCGACGTATCGAATGACGTTCAGTTTTACGTTCACTTGGAAGGGAAGGCTATATTGGCCTCTAAAAAGCTTGGCATGCTCAACAGAGTAGGACAGTATTTCATGCCAGCACACCGTTAGCAACTTTACACACGCAAGTTCGCCCTCACATGGAGTACTGGTACATCCCAGTAGCAGCTCCTTCCACTTGACCGCATCCAGCGAACAGTGACTCGAATCATCGACGACAGAGTTCTTTCTAATCGGCGCTGCGAAGAGATGTTACATCCCATTGCATTTTCTATCGCATTCTCCACGAGGAGACTTAGACAAATTGTTCGGTTTAATTCCAACCTCCAAATTCCAACAACGCAAATCGGAACAAAACTAACCATCCACACAATTTGGATGTTTGGCGGTACACCATGACTGTGCCATTAACTAGTTTTCTTCTTCGCAAGACTTCTTTGTGGTAATTATCTACCACCGGTAATTTTTCCAGACCGATACGACTTAGAGACCTTCAAGAATCGAGCTTACTCCTTTAAAAAGGCTGGTAAGGCTGTACACTTACTATTAGGTGAATTTGATTTAATGTGGGATAAATCGCGGTGTGGAAAGCTAGTAAAATATAAATATCTAGTAAATATATTCGTGGGATGGGCAGGCACAGACAGAACAGGCCGGTGGGGGGCGCATATTTATAGTTAGCCTAGGGCTGTCGCAACTCTAAATTAGGCACTGTACAGAAGTATACTAGCTGGCCCGGCAGACGTTGTACAGCCCTTTCTGGTCGGTAACGCGATTGGTTTCATTTTCACAGACACATCATCAAACTGCACAGTGTAGCTCTTCACAAGTCCACTGCTGAACATAGGCCTCCCGCAAGGAATACCACAAAGCACGGTTCTGAGCAACCTGCATCCATCGACTTCCTGCACATCTTACCAGGTCGTCATTCCATCTAGTGCGGGGACGCCCTACACTTCGTCCACCGGTACGAGGCCGCCACTCGAGAACCATTTTTCCCCATCGGTTGTCGGTTTTTCGAGCTATATGGCCGGCCCAATTGCCATCTCAGCTTACTAATCCGTTGGGCTATGTCGGTCACTCTGGTTCTACTGCGGAAATCCTAATTTCTACGTTTATCACGCAGAGAAACCCCGAGCATAGCCCTCTCCATAGCTCGCTGAGCGACTTTGAGCTTCTTCATACGGCCAGCAGCAAAGGACCACGGACTGGACCACTATAGATTTATTATACGTTTAGCTAAATCCTCTTTAGGACTAATAGAACCATCAGCAGCAATCATGACAATAAACTAAAAAAAAGGAAAACCACAACCCTTTTTTTTACTCTTCTGTAAGCGGATAAAAAGTTAGCTATATGTTCATCACGGTCATTTATTGCCTATATACAAAATTTCATTAGATTAGTCAATATTTTTAATATCTATATATTTTAAAAAAAATATTAAACTTGAATATTATCATTATAAAAAAAACCTCTCTCATTTCAGATTTTGGATGTTCGCTCTTTGTTCTCACATTCATCTATGCGATCTGCGCCGTGAGCAGTTTCGCATTAGAAACTGGCGGAGGAAGGTGTGCTCGCAACACGCTTATTTCTAATGATGAACGGGGTGAGCGACTGCTGCTGCTAGACCATGCAGCGCACTCCAGTCTATTGTCCGCAGCACAACTCAACAAGTTGTCGCATGGCACAAGAACGCAATTCGTTTAAGAACCCCACAACCGCAAGCTATCCTCGTGGGCGCTACTGACATATTATTTTCGGCATAGAATCTAATAAATAGGCAAGCGTAATTTGCGTTATACTACAAATTATTCAAATTTTATTACTTTATAGAAGATGTTTCCTTAAACCAAAGACAGTGTGTGTGTGACAGTGACAGTGAAACAGGAATGTGTTGTAAAATTACATGGACGTATAAATAAGTCCTTATTCATACTTCCATGTAAAATTATTAAAGTTCCATATTATTTTTTTCCAAAATATTAGTATTTAATAATGTTTATTATTAATTTTATTTCAGTTGTAAAGAAAGCTAAATAACATTTAAAATAAATATTGGAAGTAGAAGTAATCAAATAATAACTGCAGTGGTATGCTACATTATTAGCTTATGGATTTCGTGGTTTTTGTGCATTTTTTAATTATTCTGTGACAGAGTATACAGTATCCAGGAAGGATAGAACATAGTTCATACATGTGGTTGTGTTTTGCACAAGCAACAAACTCATACAATAAAAAAAAAGTGTACTTATCATTTCACATGTCATTTCGTAATTTAAAATATACGCCGGCTTTCTTCATGCTTTAATTGTGCTAAAAACTAAGCTTGCTGGCGATATTGTCTGTCTATACATTAAAATACAAAAGTTATAGGTATTTCTACAAATTTTAAAAATATTATTTAAAACAATTTACGTCCAAAGATAAGTAGGTATATAAATTGCTTAGGTATGTTGGTATTTTACAACAATTATTTGTGATATATTTTTTAAATAAATTAAATTTAAAAATTTATTTTTAGTAATAACTAAAAAAGGTATTTACTTTATGATTCTAGACTTTGAGATCCAAAAATATATTCGTTTATTTTATAAGGACAAGCATATACTGACAATAGTAATTTTATTTTAACTTTATTAAACACCATACATATGTACGCTTAAGTAAAATAATTATTTTATAAACAATGTTTTTATTTATGTAACACATTTCCTAAACAAATTTTAACTCTATCCAAAAATAATATACATCTTAAATAAAATATACATTTTAACAAGCTAACAATTAGTCATCATTAAAAATAATATTCTCGGTTTACAAGGTTTCCATTGTCACTTAATTACTTTTTAATTATTAGTTAATTATGTTAATGGAAGACCAATCTTACCTATTTTAGGACTAGCTGGATAATATTTCATGTGCCATTAAATCTCAAAAAAAAAAATCTATCTACAATATCTATTCAGAATTAATATCTTTTGGCTCCTGCTAACCTCGTAACTTTTCATCAATTACATTAAAATACACCTTAAGTTTGAATTTTAAAGAGAACAATAAATTATGTAAAAAGTGAAGTAAGACTAATAAAGAAAAGCATTTAAGTAGAGCTCTGATCTTCTATATTATAGATATTGTTTATAGATAGATGTTTTTCTCGGTGCTCAAAATTTTTAATGAATTCATCACACTATGTGTGTACACTTTGCAGTTTCGTATCTATAGAAAATAAGACAGTCGCAACCAAACGGAAGTTGAAACAATCTCCAATTTCAGAGAGAAAGAAAATGTTTAAAAAACTTTCTAATACTCGAGACCCCTATATTAAAATTTACAATTACATTTTATATTTCTACATAACATTCCCAATAAATAAAAATCGAAAAAAAATACAAAATTGACAGTGGAAAAAATTACTAAATTGTAGAATTGTAACACAGTTCTGACAGTTTAGGTGGCAGTTATTAATTATTGTTAAGCAGCAGTTAGTCAAAAATATGGAGTGTAGAGGTAAGGAGAACCATATCTGTGTATAAGGATAAGTTTCCGTAAAAACGCGTCCAATAAGGGTGGCGCTGCGGTAGCATAGGATAATTTTTTTAAAAAAGCGCCAAAAGTAATGAGAACAAGATGAAAAAATACACAAGGAGTTAAATACTATATGAATATACACTTTGCATGGATTGAATTATTTTAAATTCGATTTCTCAGTCAGGTTGTCGTAAATTAAATAAATGCCGTGTAGTGGCGGTTAAGAATATCTACTACTAAAAGGAGGTGTCGGATTTTATCGTCCACCAGTCTCTCGTTAACAACGTTGTAAAGACTGAGAGTGTATCGACGAGGGTTGCGTACCTTATACTCAGAATCACCAAACGGTATTCGCTGAAGGTTATACAGGTTTACGCACCAACTTCGGCACATCCCGATGAGGAGGTTATGAGGATATCTCCAGAGCCATGCATTCCTCCAAAATCCACTATACGGTGTTAATGGGAGACTTCAATGCAAAACTAGGCACAAGATAGAACGGTGAGCTAAAAGTAGGGAAATTTGGAATAGGGCAACGGAACCCAAGGGGCCAGCAGCTGGCCGACTTCATGGAGAAAGAGGGACTCTTTATGATGAACTCTTTCTTCCAGAAGCGGCCCCACAGGAAGTGGACCTGATCGAGCCCCGACGGTTCGACAAAAAATGAGATTGACTTCATTATGACGACCAGACGACAACTGTTCAGTGATGTCTCAGTGATCGCGAGGGTGTAAACTGGTAGCGATCACCGAATGGTTAGAGGTACACTGAACCTAAACGTTAAGTTGGAGAGGTCTCGTCTAATGAAGTCAACGCTCCGTCCCCCTCGTGCTCTGTTCCAAAGTCCCGAAACCTTTCAGCTCGAGTTGCAAAACCGTTTTCAGTGCCTAGAAGACTGCAATGAAGTGGACGATATGAATGACAAGCTCGTGGAAACTGTCCATGCGGTAGGAGCTAAGTTCTGCAAGACCCGCAGAAGAACACAAAAACTCTCCGATCACACTCTTAATCTCATGGCTGTTAGACGGGAGATGAAGCTACATTCTTCAACAGATTTGACAGCATACAGTCAACTGAACAGACAGATCTCCAAATGCATGCTGCGGGACTTGCGCAACTTCAATACAGCTTGTATTGAAGAAGCGATCGAGCGGAACCAAGGCTCCAAAGTCTTTGCCAGAGATCTGTCTGCAAGAAAGAGCCAACTGTCAAAGCTGAAGACCGAGTGTGGCAGCATCGTTTCCGGGACACCTGAGATTTTTGAGTGAGATTGAGAGGTTCTATGGGCAGCTGTACACGTCATCGTTGGAGCCACACGCAAGTGTGAGTAACGATCCAAGAGCGAGTTTTATCCGACACTATTCCGAAGATATCCCGGACGTCAGTCTGAGCGAGATTAGAATGGCTCTCCAGCACCTTAAAAACGGCAAGTCCCCCGGATAGAATTACAGCGGAGGTTTTGAAAGCGGATGAAAAACAGGTACCTTCAGAATCTCTTTATTTCCGTCCTCCATGGTGGCACTACTCCGGAGGAGTGGAGCAGAAGTGCGGTGCTCTCTTGAAGAACTACAGACCGATTTCCCTTCTGAGCCGCGTCTACGTGCTGTTTTCGAGAGTCATTATGAATCGTCTCGCGCGCAGACTTGACGACTTCCAGCCTCCCGAACAAGCCGGTTTCCGAAAGGGCTTTAGCACCATAGACCACATACATACCCTTCGGCAAGTTATACAGAAGTCCGAAGAGTACAATTTGCCACTATGTCTGGCGTATGTGGACTATGAGAAAGCCTTTGATTCCGTCGAAATTTGGGCGGTGCTGCAGTCCCTTCAGCGGTGCCAAGTTGACTGTCGGTATATCGAAGTGTTGAAGTGCTTGTACAGTAGGGCTACGATGGCTATCCGAGTACAGAACCAGAGTACGAAACCTATCCAATTGCAGAGAGGTGTAAGACAGGGTGACGTCATATCCCCGAAACTCTTCACCGCTGCATTGGAAGACGTTTTCAAGCTTCTGGACTGGAAAGGGTATGGTATCAACATCAATGGCGAGTACATCACTCACCTTCGATTTGCCGACGATATAGTCCTTATGGCAGAAACGCTGGAGGGCCTAAGCACTATGCTCAATGACCTCAATAGTGTTTCCCAACGGATAGGTCTTAAGATGAACATGGACAAAACAAAGATTATGTTTAATGTCCATGTCACACCTATGCCGGTAGTTGTTGGGAGCACTAAGCTCGAAGTTGTTGACGAGTATGTTTACCTGGGACAAATAGTCCGACTAGGTAAGTCCAACTTCGACCGAGAGGTCAATCGACGGATTCAACTCGGCTGGGCAGCGTTCGGGAAGCTACGACACATCTTCTCGTCAGACATACCTCAAAACCTTAAAACGAAATTGTACAACCAGTGCGTGTTGCCAGTGATGACTACGGATCTTAGACGTGGTCCTTCACTGCTGGCCGTATGAGGAAGCTCAAGGTCGCTCAGCGAGCTATGGAGAGGGCTATGCTCGGGGTGTCTCTGCGTGATAAACTTAGAAATGAGGATATCCGCAGTAGAACCAGAGTAACCGACAGTCCAACGGATTAGTAAGCTGAAGTGGCAGTGGGTTGGCCATATAGCTCAAAGAACCGACCACAGATAGGGAAGAAAGGTTCTCGAGTGGCAGCCTCGTACCGGTAGGCGAAGTGCCTACCTCTATACTCCATGGTCAAAAATAAGTTTTACAATTTTAAAAAAAATTGTGTTACTTTTACAATTTTGTAGTTTTTTTTTTATAATGGTACTATGGTAATGGTAAGTACTATTATATGGTAAATGGTGCTTACTTTGCAAATATTTAAATTATAATGTTTATTAGATGGGCCCTGCTTAAAATATTTTTTTTTAATTTTTTTTTTCTTAATCTCTATTGAATTACTTTAAAAAGGTACCCATTGTTAATCTGGCTGCTGATTCATCGACCTTTTTTACTGGTCATATTTTATTTATAACAAATTCCATTTTTAATGTAATGAGTATTTGACATTCTAAAATAATAAACTTAGCCCCAGCGTCCATTTTCTAAGGGCCTCTGAATCCCTTTAAAGCCACGAGCAAGTATGAATTTTTCAGATGAGTCTGATCTACTTGCTTTTGGCTTCATTATCTTTATAGTTTCATAAAATCTTTCCAAATCCATTTCTAATATGGGTACCTCCTTACCATCCCAAACTTTAAACAATAAATTGCCATTAACTTTAGTGACTAGAGCAGCAAATCTAATTGCCATATAACAAAGACCTATAATTCTATCCTTATCTAATTCTCTTATCCCAGTAGCACTTGGAGCCATATCAGATAACACCAGGTCTACTTTCTTACCATTAAGAGCTGCTACCACTTTATCATGTGCTTCAATAGTTGAGAAATCCATGTTGCTCATTATTGTCGCACCCTGTGAAAAATCCTGTTATTGTACTAAATACTGAATAATCTTATATAAATTATAACACTTAAGAAGTGGTAAAATTAAAAATTTTGTAAAGCCGACTTCAATATAAATGATTATGGATAACTCAAAGACTATTGGTCAGACCTTGATCAAATTTGTATTGGACCACATGAGAAGCACCAGCTTTCTAATAAAATAGAAGCGTGTTAAAAATAATCATCAAAATCGCTTAACACAAAAAAAAGTTTGAGGTAACACACAGAAAAAATACAGTCTAAAAAGGAGAAGGTACACAACCTTCTCCTTTTGAAGTCGGTTAAAAAAAGGTCAAGAATATTATGTTATATAATATGTACATTATTTTCTACAGGATTAGGATAGGATAGGATTAGTTTCCTACTTCTCTTGATGACTTCCTGGCTCAGATTTAGAGACTAACTCCGAATATTAGGTTCATGTTTTTACAGTAGTAGGGATTAGTAAAGATGTATTACCAAAATAACAAAAGTGCAAATTTTGCCATCAAACTGATCCAAAGCATTATTGTTTATTACTTAATGCATTTATGTTTTGGAAAGTATATTTTTTTATAAAATAATAATTAAATAATGTAGTGAAATGGAATACATTTGACATGTGCAACAACACCACCCACTATTTTGTTTTTGTACTTTATTACTATTGTGCTTGTACTCACATTACATTGCAATGTAAGTGTATGAGCATTGGTATTCTTTATTTAATAAAAAGGATATTGAAAACAATAATTAAATAATATTGTTTTCAATATCAATTTCAATATTATTATAAATACTTATACATTTGATACATTAATTTTAGTAATGAGTAATAATTTTAGTATTAGAAAAATTCAACTGATTTCTTATGTGGGCCGACCTAGGATTCAAACCCAATAAAATATGTGTATGAAACCTATTTTTTGGTTTCAAAAAAGGAGGAGGTACTCAATTTGATTGTATTTTTTTATGTTGTATTTACAACCAACAATATACATTCAGAAAACAAAAAATATGTGCTTACATCTGATACAATACTATTCTTAGGTGAAAAACTGGTGCCTAAACTAGGTAAAACCTCTGTATCTTAGGTCACCATTTTATTCCCAAGGAGCGTGATATAACAGAAATTAAAAGAAAAATAGAAAATAAAGGTTACTGATAAATAAATATCATGACAAGAAAAATATGGAGTAATAAATATGGAGAGAATAAGTAAAATATAACAATAAAGACTACTGGTGAGATCGACGTGTCGTTTTGTGACGTCACATCGCGATGCGGAGCAAAGCGGTCGCACTTACCGTAAAACACCATTTTACTCATCTATATTTCAGTCATTTTTAAAGGTAGAAAAAAAATAAGAATACCGTTGAATTCATAATTTTTTATGCAATTTTTTGATACCCTTAACAAAATTGGGTGGTTATATCGATTATTTTCACTAGAAGCTGCATAAGGTGAAAACAGTTGAAGGGCTGATAAATAGTCCCGAGTAAAATTAAATATATATATATATATATATATATATATATATATATTATATTATATTATATAGATTGACTCGGGATACATTTTTCGTGAATTTTGTTCTAGACCCGCCGTTCATTTAGTAGTAGGTCAATGATCATAAATAATAATTTATTTATTCTTTATTGCATTCTTTAATATAAAAGAATACAAAACTTAATGCCTTGAGGCATTCCCTACCACCTACCCAGAGAGTGATGAGAATTTGACGTAGGTGTAGCAGTATAGAATAAAAAATAAATAAGATAAATATATATATATATATAATTTTTACTAATATATAAAATATATAAACTATAGAAACATCTCCTATACAAACATATATAGGTACATACATATATACACATCAACATACAAATATAAATAGTACATGTAATTGATTGGGAGAGAATGCTTTAAGGTGAAAGCTCCAGGGTGGCCCGTGAAATTCAAATTTTCTTACGTTTTTTGGACTTCGCAGGTCAGGGTCAGGTTGAATGTTTAACAAAATATGATTCGCGACCGTAACGAGTATGTGTTTACAGAATTATTATCATTAAAATCACCAATACAACCCTCCAAGTTCATATAATTCTTTTGAATGAGTTTTTCTAGAAATAGTCATACAATAGGATTATACGAACTTAGGGGGTTGTATTGATGATTATAATTCTGTAAATACATACTCGTCACGGTCGAATCATATTTTATTAAACATACAACCTGACACTGACCTACAAACTTCAGAAAATTTGAATTTCGCAGGCCACCTTCGAGCTTTCACCTTAAGGAATTAAGCCCGCCATATGTACGATTTTTCTTTTGTGCATAAAAGTTTAAATAAATAATAAATAAATATAAATAACTATGAATATATATGTCTGTTAACAATATGTTAGTTCTTAAGATTAAGATACTGTCTGTTTCGTGCAATAAAGAATCAATCTGACTGTCTAACATCCTTGCACACACACACACGCACACACACACACGCACACACACACACACACACACAAAAGGCGTGTGGACAAAGAGAGTGCTGATGTAAGAGTAGGAGATCATTCAAAATTGTCGGTTACTACAGATTTATAATATAAAGTCATAAAAAGTACTCGATGTTGAAAAAACATCAATGTTTCTAACCGATGCATCGAAATATATCGATGCACAGTCTCGATGCATCACATCGAAAAAAAACATTGATGTATTTTCAAAGTGGACACCCCTATCTTGTAGACGACCACAAAGTATACATATATTTTCATGCCTAAAGTGCAGAGTGAGACTGGCATGTTTAAAAATAAACCACTCACCGATATAGGAAATATTTGCAGTTTGTCAATTGACAACACTGTGCCTTTAGGTTTACTTTTATCAGCTCCATCAGAATTAGTCTTCTGTACTGCTACTTGAGTCCAAGAACCAGGTGATGCACCAAGATCAACAACAGTCAAGCCGGGAGTAAGAATATTTGTCTTTTCATTCATTTCCAAAAGTTTGAAAGCGCTTCGACATCTATTGAAATAATTTATTTGTAGTATTTGGTAAATGTAAACATTATTTGATCTTAGAGGCATTCATGAAAATATTAAAACAAAAAATACAGAAAATTTAATATCACTCTTACAAAACATAAGTTAATCAGAGGTAACACAAGAGGTGTGATTTGATTATAACAAAAATCAAAAACAATACAAACCTGTAATTGTATATTTTGGCTTTTTCAACATACGGATCAGCTTTTTGACGATCTAGCCATTGTTGTGAACTTTTTAAGCGCTTGAGACAGTTAACTAGAAAGCACATTTTTGAAAGTTTCAAGTCATTGTAGGCCAATAAATGCATGGATAACATTATAAGTATCTATAAAAAAAATATAACAGTTAATTCCAAAGAGAATATTATCACTACATTTTAGTTAATTCCATAACATTGTACACTCACTGCAACTAATTACAAACAGAACAAATATGTATTTATATCCTTAGTCTCCTACTATCTACAACTGGTAAATATTTAACAAGTGCACATCTTCTACATTCTTTGTTTGTTTCACAATTCACAAATTAATAAAAAGTGGTTTGTTTATAAATACCATAGATTACTGTATATATATTATATACAGTGTGACCATTTTTAAAATACACATCCTGCCATACTTTGGTTAAAAACCTGCCAAATCCTGCCAAAATCTGTAATGAAAAATGCCTAAATACTGCCAACTTTATTTACTATTGTATTAAACTAAAAAAAGTCAAAATACACATACAAATGCTATATTTTTTAAATTAAAATTAAACATATCTTTCGTTGGTTCGAATGCAATGCAATCGCCATGCTTGTTTAACCTACAAAATAGACGCTAAATGTTTATTTAGAAATCTTTTTCGTGTTTTTGTCTTAATTAAATTTATTTTAGAGAATATTCTTTCGCATGTTGAATCCACTCATATTTTGTTGATGTTTACTAGTAGCGGCATACTCCTTTAAGCGGACAGCCGGCACCCTTACTAATATATATAAGATAATCCAGACTGTATACTAATACCTTTGGCTTTTGAGATCCATGATGAAAATAAAAGCTTGCTTCCACTTCGCTCTATACGCCCTTTCTTATTTTTGCTTCATCACCGCCATCTATAGTTACTATCGTTCACGAAATATTATTAACAAGATTTCATCGTGATGAAATCTAATTCTATAACATACTAAAGTACGTCTCTTTTATGACTGATTGAAATATTAACCAACTCGTGTTAAGATTATCAACTTTATACACAAAAATTTTAAAGTTGTTTATTGAATGTGATACAAGCATTATACGAGAAATCGAGAAATACAGGGAAATCCCCAACATGCTGGTGAAGTATCTAGGGTTGTCATTTTCGTCATTTTAAGTTGCCATAATGAAATATATTTTTAATACCCCAATACTGCCAAATACTGCCAGGTTTTATAAAACGTCAACCAATCATGCCAGAGGCTAAAATAAGAGGCCAATCCTGCCAAAATGGCAGGAACCTGCCACATATGGTCACACTGATTATATACATAACCGACAGAAAAGAGACGTAGGCCGGCGACATACATACGGTATTCCGTTTCGATATTCCGATTCGGGATTTCGTGAATCCATTAGGGATGTAAAAAATTATCGATTTTCATATTAATCGATTATTTTTTCTTATAATCGATTTTTCAGTCGATTTTTATAATAAAAATCGATTTTTAATAAATCGATTTTGTAAATTACGCGTTTTAATCGATTTTTGTTTTCATCTGTGCGATGGATATAAAAACGTGAAGTGCAATAACATGAATAAGTCAATCAAAAGAACAGCGTCATCTGTGCGAAAGATGAAAAAACGCAAAGTAAGTTCACTAACATGAACAAGTCGATCAAAAGACGGCGCCACCTTTATGTATCACTATGTATGTAAAACAGTTTCGCCTTTCGTATGTTTTCAACAGTTTTCTTCCTCCGCTAGGAGTAAATGTATTCTGTGGTTTTCTTTTTTTCTTTGGTTAGTGTAAACAATTATATATAAACAATAAAAATGTCTTGTAAAACGCCTAAAAGTGACTGATGGAAGTATTTTATAATGAAAAAATGATAGCGGCCAACACTTCAATAGGCAAAAATACTGAATTGGATCTATATATTGCGGCACCACTATCAAATCTCAAGGCAGATGCCTCAATATATGGAGAAGCTCTGAAGGAACTTTCCCTAAACTAACCGAATTGGCTCTTAAACACCTGTTTGTGACGGCCAGTTCCGCGCCAGCTGAAAGATTATTTTTGGAAGCGGGAAGTATTGTCAGGAAAAAACGAAACTGTATTTTGGGAAAGAGACGAAGAAGAATTTTGGTGAAATTTTTGATTGATTGGTGATTGTTTTTAAACTTTTTAACTAAAAATTCATGGCAATAATATTTTTCACTTTTTTTGTTTACAAAAATTTAAGAAAAGATTTGTCTTGTATTTTAGTTTTGAGACCAAATGGTTGTCGTTTGATTATTTATAATTATATTTTTATTTTATTTTCATTCTACTCCAATATAAATCATACTGAGCATTAGTGGCAATTATTATTTATAGTTTCTTTGTTTAAACTTAAAGTTTAAAAAAAGATTTATTTTAGTTTTGAGACCAAAATGTTGTCGTTTGACTATTGAAACTTATAGTTTTATTTTATTTTCATTTTAATCCAATGTAAATGGTACTGAACATTTGTGGCATAATGATATTTAGACTTTTTGTTTGTTCAAACTTTGTTTAAAAAAACTATCGTTTACTAAACTTATCGTTTCTTAATGATTTCTTATATTTACGCGAAGATTACACGTTAAATGAAACTAATTTTTACGGATTTTATCGCGCTTAATTTAACATTTTAATCCGATTTTAGACCGATCTACCCACTTGAATGTCCAAGCGACGCGGCAAGAATACCCTTGAACGTCCCGGCCCCGGTCGTTGATGTTTTTATACGGTCGGATCGCGACCAGTTCGACTCAATTGACGTACAACAGGTAAAAAAATGATTAATTTTAGAAATTTAGATGAAAAACCCTAATACCCCATTTAGACTCTCGCCTCGCGCCTCGCCTCGTACCTCGCCTCGCAGCTCGCGTGTTGTTGCGAGGTAAAAGGCTTATTACATTACACGATTTATCGGGCCCTGTCCATCGTGTGCCCTGCCTACCAGACAGGGCGCTGCTTATTACACTACGCTAGAAATCGCTTCCTGCTTCAGTTGTTACTCGAACGTGGAAATGATTGCACGTCTAGCATTATGGCGCAGACTTTATCTAAACGTCAAAAAATTGATTTATTGATTTTTTTACGTGGTAGAGCCATGCTACAGCTATATTAGTAGTATAATTGTAGCACGAATGGGTCGGCTCGACCGGGGAAGGACCACGCTCTCACAGAATACCAGCGTAAAATAGCAGCTTAACACTGCTGTGTTTCGTATGGTGAGTGTAGAGAACCGGAGACCCTTTTACTGGAAAAGAGGTTCCATCTCAGTCCTCACGGGTGACAACGCATCTGCATTTTGATTCGCATACGAGGATAAATGTAGGTGTCTATGGGCCACAGCAACCACTTACCATCGGGTGAAAAAGAAAGAAAAAATACTTTAATGATTTCTTATATTTACGCGAACACTACACATTGAATAAAACGACTTGTACGGATTCTATCGCGTTTAATTTTTTTTAATTAATTCCCGACGTTTCGGATGCTTTACAGCAACAAGTCCCCCGTGACCATGTGTGGTAAAGCACGCGAGAATTAATAAAAAAAAATATTAAACGCGATAGAATCCGTAAAAGAAGTTTTATTCAAAAGAATACTTTTTTAAGAGAGATTGGTTGTCACTTTACGATTTTGGCCACTGGAAACTCCTATCAAGATTTGATAAGGCATTTCTTTGTAGATGTCGATGACATTGAGAAGGATCTTTTTCTTTAGCGCATGACATAAATACGAGTAATGATTTAGAGAGTAGATCGACATAGTAGAACTTTAAATAAACAAACGTGTAGACTCTGCGCATGCGGCCACGCAACTGAGCTCCCTGCCTCCCTGTCTCTTATTACACTACACGATCCACAGCGCGGCAGGGAAGCAGGGCGGTCGGAACCACTCGGTCGCCCTGTTTAGGGACCCTGACTCCCTGTTTCTTATTACACTACCCTGTCCCTGCCGGCAGGGCCCGAGAAATCGTGTAATGTAATAAGCCTTTAACGAGTGCCTGTTTACACTCTCGCGATGGGTTCAGTTTGCGTTGAACCAGCAACGATGGAAGACGTCGAAATAATAGCGGCATCAACTCTTGCCTTAATAAATATTTATCGATGCTTGACCATTTTAAAAAGAAGGAAATTAAAAAATTTCATATTTTTTTCAAAGATTTCATAGATTGCTTTTTTCTTCGTAGGTGTTGACGAAAGGTAGCCATAAGCGAATTCTTTTTTACTTTGAGCTCTGCTAGCGGTCTGCGGCTCTGGTAGCACATAACCTCGGAAATTCTATTCCACGCATCTTTTACTTTTTGGGTATTTTTATGCATAATTTACTTTGCATATGTAAGAAGCTTACTCGAATATGCGAGCTGTGTATGGTCTTCACAGTACGCAAAGCATATTGATGCCATTGAATCCAGAAAAAATTCATTAAATACCTAAATTTCAAAATGAGTCCAAATTGTGTTACCTACGAAGATAGCTGTCGTTTTTACGGATTTCTACCATTAAGAGATCGACGCGAGTTGCTCGATATGTTATTTTTGCATAAATAGCTCACAGGTCAAATTGATTCTCCGGAGCTGCTATCGATGATATCGCTTAATGTAAGTACCTTCAAAGCGCTTTCGTCACACAAATAAACGTTTATTCCATGTACCTTTGTCGCGTACCAGTTATTCATCAAACTCAGTTCTGTCTAGGATACTACATAATTACAACACGAAATTTTCTGATATAGATCCCTTTAATTCGACCACATATGGTTTTAAACACGTCGTTATCAAAAAGCTTATGTAACATCAATATAGCATGTTAATTTATATAATACTAAAGCATTTTACACACACATACCTCCACACACACTCTCTCTCACAAACGCATATACACACATATTATGTATATATATATATATATATATATATATATATATATATATATATATATATATATATATATATATATATATATATATATATATATAGAACCTTTCACGGTAAATGTTGCTCCAGTGAGAAGTTAGAACAAATATTGATCCACCTATTTTACGTATATACTCAGCTCTGCGTCGCGCAAAATAATATACTTTGATCAATCCTTGATGAGTGTGTGACGTCGGTGGATCTGTGGTTACTAATTTTGAACATACTCGTCAGCGATTTGACCAATATTTGTTGGTCCATCAACGGTCGAAAAAATCATACTGAATACGATTTCTTACATCCAGAATATATTTAACTTATATGCGACATTTACCTAAGCTAAGTGGATCCAGAGCCTAAACTGACATATAGGTACGCAAACACAAAGCGGC